CATTCTCGAATCAGATATGATGATAGAGTGGCTTTAACAGTTGGAACCGATATCTCTTCAGCTAAATGAAAATTGAATGAAATGTTTGGAAATCAAATACAGCCAAGGAGCTTATATTCTATTCCGCAATGCTCAAAATTATTGTTTTTACCAATACTCATAAATAGAAATGTGTGGTTTGTAATTCCCCCTCAAAGAACACTTCTGGATACGCCACTGGGGATACAAGCCATTTCAATACATGACCTGCGCTCTAAGGATAAGAAAGTGGGAAAATGAAATAACCTATCAGTGCTATTATCCATGCATACGTGATTTTCCGAATTGATTAGTGAGGAATCCTGATATATTTGATAACATTATATGAATTCACGTCATATTTTTCAACGCTAATGGCGATAAATTCATGATTTTCCACTTGAATATCATACGAATATCAATGAATAATAATGTTAAGAGATGAACATGTACGATAACCGATGAAACTGATTATCATTGCATTATCACACTGTTGCTACCTGGGATTATTACTAACATCTTCAAACAGTAGTTAGGGTAGAAAGCACTGAGTTTAACGGACGCACTGTATACAAACTTTATAAATAAAGGTGATTTAGTTTTTGATACAGCTCTTCATGAAGATTCCAAAGATTCTATGATATAATATATTATATAGGATGTTCTTTTTGAAAAAAATGTCGCTAACCTCATTCCAAACGTGGATCATCCTGTATATTCAGTTCTTTCTTATAACTTGGAATTTTCTACCTGAATTAGAAGATTCCTCAGAAATGGTCGGCTGAAAACGAAATTATTCAGTACTTTACGAAAACACTGTATACAGTGTGTCCCACTTACTATGCTCACCATGGGTATCTTTTTAACGGTGAGAGATACGAGGTCGATTAAATGACACCAAATGTGGAGTTTGTTGAGGCCAACTATAATGTGAAAAAATATTTTGATAAAATCTATTCGGTTTTGCTTTATACGCAAAAAACAGATTTTGATCATTCTCTTGTCTCCTCCGTAACTTCTTTATTTATGAAAATATTCAAATAGGAATTTCACATTCTCATGGCAGTTTTTCAAAGTGATTTCGAAACAAATATGAAATTTATACCAACTCTTTTAGAATTTGTGATATCAGCACCAGCTTTAGTTTTTCAAATGTAGGTCATAGCTCACTATGACTCAGGTACAAATTACTTTTTTTTCTCCTACAGATAATATCTCGCAGTAATAGTTTTGTATTGATTACAACGGAGTTATCGTCATTTATACAAAAACAAAAAATTATTTGGAAGCCACCATCTTGAATTTATAAATTTAAACAAAAAATCATGATCTCCGACTTCAAAAACCCCCACTCACCAATTCTGAATGGATTCGGACCAAATCCGGTGACAATACATTATGGAATATTTGATGAAATTAAAAAAAAATGGCTGCTCCAAAATGACGGACAAGATACCCATGGTGAGCATGGTAAGTGGGACACACTGTATACCAACCCTCAACTCAAGGACAAGTGACACAGATTTGCAATGTTTGGTTGTATTTTATGTAATTTCGGACGTTTCTGGTTCTTCGAATTCCGTCGTAGCTTGCATTTGCATTATAACCTGATGAATCTCAAGTGAGAGAATTTCTCGAATTCTTGAAAAATTGTGCCAATGTGAAGGAGTAACGATAATGAACTTTCAATCTGGTTCAACTGGCCATTTTCCAGATTCAAACCATGTTGAAATACAGGAACGATAATACTTTCAATTTTGACCTAGGCTAGTAGTTTTGTTTTCAATATGCATTGCTGAGGTTAGTTTAACTACTTCTTCAATATAATAATTTTTGTGGTCGTCCGACTTCGTACCTCTAATTGTTTTTTCTTAAATATTAATTGGACCACTTTGAGGAATACGGATGGTTACTACGATTTGAAATTAAATTTGTTCATTCTGCACCACTCTTCTAGTTCATCTATAGGTATCCCTTTGCAACCTCGCAGAGTTTATCTACCCATCTGGATGCGCTCGAATATTTTCAAATCATCTGCATATATAAGAAACTTTGATGACTTGAGTAGAGCTGGTAAGTCGTTAATGAATATAATGAAGGAAAAATACCCAAGGTTCGACTCCTGAGGAAATTCAGATAATCCCGTGATTTCATCTACCATTATGTTTAACCATTAGATATTTTTTTCCTGAATAGCTCCCGATTAATCTCAAAATAGTATCAGATAGTCCAAATCTACTCAATTTATACAAAAATACATCATGATCTACTTAATCGAATGCTTTTCGGAAATCGGGGTACGTATATAATATCTGATTGAGACTTAGACTCCAATGTTTCATAAACGTGGTTAGCAAAGGTAAAAAGATTTGTATTAATAGATCTATTGAGAACAGAGCTGTGCTGTTGTGATGTAAAATATTTCTCAGGGTAATTATATAATGCTGAATAAATAATATGTTCGAATAGTTTGGCTGACGCAGACATTATGGACACTGCTCTATAATTCTCAACATTCACTTTTTAAAACTGGGGTCACGATCCCAGTTTTCCATTTAGTTGAAAACATTGCAGATGATAAAAAGAGATTGAAAATATGTATCAGCAGCTTTATGTCTAATTACTTTTCGACTTATCGGCAGGATGAGACTTTCTAAGTATAATACAGTGGCACATATTTAAAGCCGGGCCTTATATACCTGTTTACGTATATGGGGCCATATTTCGAACAAAAACTTCCGACTATTTTATATTCTTGATGAGCTATACGGATCGAACTGGATAGATATATACAGGGTGTCCCATTTGAAAAAAAATTGCCTTCATTTTCTAATTATGGAAGAAATACTGATCGCCACTGCAATATACGTAGAAAGTTTTATTCGGCTCCGTTCTCATCCTGTCGATAAGTGAAAACTAACCATATGGGAGGTGCTCAAAGAGTCAGAAATGTACCAAAAATCTACTCTATGACCAAGTGGAGTCATCTTCAGAGACCTACACTGCTCGCCAACAGCCATGTAACCACCCCGAGTTCCGGAAAATGATATTAGGGATTCGGAATCAGCAAGCCCAATTCATTAACAATTCATATTTTTTTCGAAGAATTTTTAGTTCTGAAAAATGCATTTTTGTCTCACTTGTCATGGAAAAACCCCCGTATCTTACGTAATCGTTGGGTTAGGGTCCTGAAATTTGCTGGAGCGAGAGATATACCAAAAATGCACCCTGCAACCAAGTGGGGTCATCTTCAGTGATATACACTTCAGCCATGGAACCACCCCAATTTCCCGAAAATAATATTAGGGGTCAAAATAGGTCGAAAATCACTTCAGATTCGGAATCAGCACGCCCAATTCACTAGCTATACCAAAAATATACTCTATGACCAAGTCGGGTCATCTTTAGTGATATACACTACTCGCCAACAGCCGTTGAACTACACACATGTTCATAAAATAATATCAAGAGGCAATATACGTTGGAAATCACTTCGAATCCGAAAACAGGACGTCCAATTCATCAACTTCCTATATTTTGGCGCATTATCATCCTCATACTATTAACGAACTCATTCCTTTAAGATCCATTCAACTTACACCCGTTATGATTTCTGATCCATTGAATCACTCCTGATAATCTATCGAGTTATCTATTCAATTGCACTAGTCCCGATTGGTATTTTATTATCCCTGGTGAAAACTGACTTCATGATTATCAATTTCAGAACAACCATCGAGTTTAGTTTCTGATTTAATAAATTTTTCCTCCTGGAATGTTGGTGGTTCTGTGCATGGCTGCTGGCGAGAAGTGTATCATTGAGGAACATCTAGTGTGAAATGAGATAATCAATCAGAATATACAATATTATAACAGTGTGAACTTTTCACCAATGTATCACTTAAAACCTCTTTCCATTCAAGTTTTATATGGAAGGAGTCTATGGGATGGTTGAACCCCTTAAATCACATCAAAATACTTTCCTCTGGAAGTTGCCCTACCGGGTTCATTATTTTTATATTAGCAGATCAATTGTTCATGGGTAAGGTGACTTCAAGTTGCCCGCGCAATTGATCCTATAGGTATAATAATTGAAGACCTAGGTGCAAGAACCGGGCAACTCCATTTCATGCCGAAATTGTGTTATTGTATTTTACATATAGATTTTTTTCTTGTGCATCTTTTGGTGCAAGAATCAAGCGAATCCAACAATTTCCTATCGAGTTAACACGGGAAAGGATTTACCTGATGAGCCATTGAGGTGCAAGAGTCGGGCAGATCCAGGAGTTACCGATTTCAGCACCGAAATGTAAGCTATGACGGTGCTAGACTCGGGCAACTTCAGGAGTTATCCGAATTTAGCACCGAAATGTACGCGTTTAGTGGGAGAGTTCGGAGTGAGGTTATTAGCGGCAAGCCTTCCCGCGTCTTCCATCGTTTGTGGCGTACTTAGTTTGATCATTTGTTTCATGCAATACAATGTAATGTAAGGGAGCCCTTTTAAGAATCGGGAAGTGAATAAGTTCCAAAAACTCCAAAACTGTTGACGAAGAGGACCCAAATTCTGGCAATGTTAACGAAGATCAAGACGCAGGAAGAGTCAGCGATTCTTCTAATGTTAAATATACTATGTGTTTACAATATTTCCCGTAATATATTTCATTTTCAATAGGAAAGCAAAATCATTACACGATTTTCACTATATTTTAAGAATTTTGTCTTTTTGCGGCAAGAAACAGGAAACTCCATTTTTTCTAACTTCTTTTTTAGCTTCTACAATGTAAATGAAAATTAGTATCTAGGTGAATACAGCTTATCTAACGTAACTCTAAAGGATTCATACCATTAAGCACAATTTTTTTCAAGTTTCTCATATAAATATTAAGTTATTTTCCATTCCTCAACATTTTAAAAAATTGGAGTGGCCCGGTTCTTGCACCGAGGACTTCAATTATTATCGTAACCACTCGTTGAACAAAGGGTACAATAACAACAAATAAACACCTAGACTGATCACATCACTACAGGTGTCGACAGTGATTTTTGCAGTGCAGAAGTAGGAGGGACACAGAATTTCGTCAGGTCAGAACTTGATCAGTATACCGTGGTAAAGTAGTCAAGTGAGGTGTTCACCGAACAAATGGTGTGTGCACTGTGCTAAACGATCCGTGCCACTGTAGCGAGCATAACTTTTGTCGACGATCTACACTACACAACAGGTGCGTTTATCACTTTCATTCTTGTTTTCGTAAAAAGTCAGTCGCACGTGCTTTCATTGAGAAGTGTTGTGAGACTGTATGTCTGTGATGATCTCCAGGATAATTAGTAACAAAATTTGTAGCATTATTTTCCAACTATTCCTGAATAAAATGTTCGAAAAATTTGGAATTGGTTGATGGTTGAAAGACTTTATGTAAGCAACTGCATTTTGTGAAATTGATTATACCGTCACATTATTTTATTAATTGCTACACCCTATACAGTGAGTTATTATGAGGCTCGACGAATGAATAATATATTTAACAGCGTGAAAACTTTTGATGGAATAGGATCCAAATCTCCATAACAGAAATATATTTCGAAAAAACGTTGGAAATAAGGTCGAGTTCTAATTTTGAAAATCAATAATTGTTTTGCGTAACATTTTACAACCACCTGATGTCCACTTCCTGCTCTATAGATTAAAACCCTCAAAACTGTTGACAGTACAACAGGTCTAGTTAGACCTTGTTAGGAAGGTAGGTATTTTATATCTTTATAAAACAGTCTATTTTTTAATTTCGAAGCAATCGGAAGATTGAAAATTTATTGTGATTTTTGTCCAAAGTATACCTATTCATCATTATTGATAATTTGGACAATAATTCCAATGAATATTCAAACCTTCCAAATTATGACAATGTGTTTAGTTTTGTTTGTTCTTCTTATTCAAAAATTTCGACAACATACTGTCCTATGGATACGGCTCCTGTATTGATAGAGCAAGTCCGAAATTTTGTATACAAAAAGATATCGCCGTGATACAGAATAAACCTTGACAATTATATTATATTAATATATAGCATTATAAAAATTCTATCATAGATTTCCAATTACTGCATATACCTACTCGACATTATTGAGGATTGATTGATAAGTTCACAGATTGGTATAAACCTACTTCAACCAGAATTAATGATTAAAAAGAAAATTGCTATGATAGTAATCAATAAAAAAACAACTGAGAGCTTCATAAGATTAAATTGAAATCATCTATACTGTCTATCAATAAATTCAATAATCCACAAAGGATACAACAATGTGGTGAATGATATAATTGGGTGGACGAGTAAGTATTGAAAATTAGAAGAATGAATGCACTTTCCACATCTTTTGTTATTATATTGATAAATTCACAGCTATTTTTCATTTGTTGAAAATAATAGAGATCATCAGATCATTTTTGTATCTATAGCTTACCACATAATGATTGTTTGTAAGGTGAGTATCGATTATTATGCTCAGTTGAGATAAGGCTGAACAGTGATAGTCCAAGAGCTGCAATTTTTGATCGTCATCTGATATAACAAAATGATATATGTCCCAAAGGAAAGTAAAAACATTGTGGTTGATCGAACGGCACCTGTGCCAATCACTATCCTGAGCAGAATGATTGAGAAATTGCACTTTTCTGTGCGGAAATTTACACTCGATTTCGCGACTTGATAACGAGATGAAAATTATGTCATCCGATATACAAATTGATTGGTAGATCTCTAAAACCTATACCTGTGCCTTTCCTCAGTCTGCTATTATTTCGGACATACTTATTCCGTCATGTGATAACAAGTTAAAACAAGAAGCGAATGGAAGCGGATGATGTCACCTTTGCGAATATCCAAACGTGCGGCGATTCAGACTGATATAAGTAGTGGCAGAGCGTCAATACTTCCGAGAATATTTCACCCCACTCCAAAGGTAATATCCGATGGAACAGTGTAAAACTCAACGTGTGGATAAGAATACTTGTAAGTAGTGTGAGCACCACGGGATTCACACTGGTCCATCGGATATTACCTTTCCACGAGCGTGAAATATTCACCAAAAAAATGACGCTCTGTCACTGACTTAGATTAGTTTGAATTGCGGCATGTTTGGATATTCACAAAGGAGAAATTTTCCCCTTCCATTTGCCTTTTGTTTCAACTCCTTATCACATGACGGAAGTATGTCCGGAATAATAGGAAAAAATAAATCGCTATGCCGTGGATTTGGCTCAGACTGAGGGATGGAACAGGTAGGTTTTCGAAATCTATCAATCAATTAGTATCGGATTGTATAATTCTTATCTCGCACGGGCAAGTGCAATTTTCAAATAATTTTGCTCGGGATAGTGATTGGCACAGGTGCCGTTCGATGAAATACAATGTTTTCACTTTCCTTTGGGACATATTTCATTTTATCATCAGATAACGGTAGAAATCTGAAGCCGGCTCTCCTACTATGAGAAGTTTCAAGAGAAATATAACAAGAAATACGAATTTGATTGGATCATGTGGATAGAATATGGCCAGACAGTGCTCTGTTTCTCCCAAAACGCTTGACCGCAGATTCCGCAATAATGGCATATTAGGTATTAGTTGTCCGCAAGATGGCAACACTATTTACAGATTTCTTTCATGACAGAAAACAAAAAACGGCGCTTACACACCGGTTATTTCTTCCCGAAATGTTTATCTTCACAAATATTTCATAATAAACATTCTTGATTTTCCTTGGACACATGTCATGTCTTGGATGTCATGTCATGCATTTCAACTTCAAATTTGCCTCCATCAATTCAGTACGTTCAATGACAATTAAATCAATGTCCGTCACTCATCAAGTTCACTTGAACACGACATGTCGCAGCGACAATGGCTGCTTAACACAATAAAATCTATATTTTACCCACTTTTGGAAAACACATTTTAATTTGTTTGTAACGTATTTTACCTCAATGTCGTTTGTTTTAAACTGGACTAAAGATATTTTTGTGGACGAATTTTATTCCTGACGAGTAAGTAACCTCACTTTTATCATTTTCCAAATTCATATTTAACATTTTCAAATTTCGATTTAATATAATGTCTTTTTCAAATCAAAGGTTCATCAAAAAGTAACAAGTCACCAATTTATTTTTTTAAATTTCACTTTTCAATAGTAAGCAAATTTCCAAAACAAATTTTTCCAAAATATTTTTCAAAAATTATTTAGAAATTTCTTTTAGAATTCTCAATTTTGATTTCTTTCGAATAGCTAAAAGCAGATTACTTACTTACAGGTACGCACTGATGATGACTTAACAGTCGAAAGCGCTCTGCTACAAATATTGAATAAATTATTTTGCACGAAATACAAATCTTCCCTTCTTTGGGAACTACTCTTTATCAAATCTCATTTGTCTATTGAAAGTTTTGGAATTCTATGCCAAAGGAAATATTTCCATCAAGAACTTCTAATCTCCAGAAGTTCGAAAATAATCCAATATACCTACCTTCTCTCCCTATCCTTCCTAAGGTAGGCACGATGTTTCTCGAACATAAAAGCAGGGATTCTTTTCTGGGTGCTCCAATGGATACCGAAAACAATTTGAAATATCAGAATTTCATCAACAAATGGCATGTGGAAATATACTTCGATTGTATAGAAACATTGAGTTGAAATGTGTTTCTCAATTGCGGACTTGAATGATTTTTCATTTTCACCCAACGACCTTATAGAAACAGGAAGACGATCGAATAAATTCAGATCTATTGATGATTCTTCATTTTTATCAACAACTCCAGCATTCGAATGATATTATTGCTCTTGATTTTCAATGAATTGGTGACTTTCTTGAAAATATTCGCTTCATACGATATGGAGTATCATTATTACTTCATTATTTTCAGATCAGAATATTCCGACAACGGCAAACAGTATCGAGTTTTATCAAAAGTATCTTTTTGTTTTGGAATTAGTGATGTTTGAATTCACATGAGATTAGGACTAGTAGATATAACATCATAAAATTTATGTTTGAAACAGCTTGTTACGAATCGTATAACTAACGCCTTCTATGAGAGTCAGATAAAAAAAAAACAAATCATATATTCGTGAAAGAATCATTTTACAATATTGTTTGTAGTTTCGACATACCTAATCGTTAAAAACGTACAGATAATTATTTTTGTATGTATGACAAATTCAAATTCATCAAACAGGACGTGGTAAGGAATTCTGAATTGAGAAAGTAGTATTTTTCTGTTGAATAAATCGAGAAAGATCAGATATTTTCATTACACATCGAGTTATACATAGAGGATGCGAATTCTGAATGTATTTCTTTATATAAATATCCATTTTTTGATGTTCATAATTCATCTGAGGATTCTCCTTTTCAATACATGATATTTATTTTTCTACCCCTCATAAGTATCTTGAATACGGATGCCTTGACCAAGAATTTTTCATTGACCATTTTTTTGCAGTGTTCCATCTAACGTAATAACGGGTCCACCTTTCCTTGAAACACCCTGTATTTATATCAGAAACAGAATGATAGATTCGTTCAATATTGAATGTTAATAATTATGTTAAATCGAAATATATTATGGGAATATTATAACAGGGATATCCAATCATTAATTAGCTCCTTTGTCCAACGAGAACGCATATATGTAATATTGAGTTTCCCAATTGAATGACCTTGTTTAATTGCTCAAATGCAGCACCAGCATTCGACATTCGATTTGTAAAAATTGCAGGTATAGAACATAATGATTGGTGAGGATAATAGACAGACATTTCTAGAAAGGGAATCAGATAATGTCTATATGCGTACATTGAGTTAATTAGATTTGTTGTGTGTTTGGAATTTCAGAGGATAATAGAAACCAATCTATTTCTGAATCGTTTCCACACATTCTTCTCATCAAATCATTCAAATACCTATGCATTAGAAAAACCAGATAGCCCAGGTTATGACTGAAAAAAAAAGTTGAAATCGGACCAGAACCCAACCCAGCTGCAAAAACTGGTAGAACTGTTATATACCCACTGTTTCATCGTGGCCATCGATTTGATTGATTGTAATTTCCATATGGCTGTGTTTGTTAGGTGGTATAGACAGCGGCAATGGTAAATCCCGGAATCCTTGTGTGAAGGATACATATTATATTTATATATCGTATATTATTTCAAAGTCGTGGATATAAAT